AGTGTCAAGCGTTAGGATGCAGGCTGTGAAGCCGCTGTCCACAGCACGTTGGAGAAGCGATCGAGTAAGCTCGTCATCGTGCGGCATGTAGAGCTGGAAAAACCTCACACCCTTCTCGCCGCCACCGGCAGCGGTGCCTGTGTCGCCTTGTCCTTTCCTCACGCCCTCGTCGTTGGCATGGCCGACGCCCTCTATGCTCTGTGAGCCTGCTGTCGAGAGACAGTATGGTAGCCCCAAGGCGCCTGCGGCTCTTGCTACGGGTAGCTCGCCCTCTGGATTGTAGATCTTGTTGATACCAACAGGCGCAAACCCAATCGGCGCAGGAACCTTGTGTCCAAAGATCTCGGTCGCAGTGTCGCGCTGGTTGGTATCTACGAGCATACGCGGAATAATTCGATGTCGGTAGAACGCTTGTCTGTTTACGGTATGCGTGTGCGATTGGCCGGCATTTGAAGACGCGTAGAACCAGCCACCTTGGCTGAGTTTCTCTTTTGCTAATTCTTCGAGTTTGCCCGGTTCTATACACAGTGCATCAGCCTTGCGCGACCTCAAATGTCCAGTTTCTGGTTCGCTCGATTTCTAATTGCGCGACAGTGCTATGAAGGTAAAGCATACTTACCTGTGTTGAACACTGGTACTTCGCCCTCATTGGATTTCCAAAAGTTCTTCCGCTGAAACAAGGCGTATTGCTGCGTGGTTCGGGCCTTTTGGTTGGGATTTACAGGGTCCATTATGCAAGTGGCCAGTCAGGTACAACGTCCGAGCAATTGAGGAAGGAACTCGAAAATGGATCTTGAAGGAATGATGGTTTTACTTCGGTCTGTTGAATCAAGAATAGGCGTTGCACATTGCTAAAAGCAATGTACCACCGGCACTCTCGGATCCACGCCATAATCGTGACGCTTGCACAGCTGTCGCAGATTATGACGAAAGGTGATGCTGCTCGGACTGGACCCTGATCTCAAGCTTATCTCCGGACTCGCGGACGGCAATGCGAACGGCAATTGAATGTAGCATGGCTGGAACACAGACCTTGCTATTGATTGACACACTCGACTGTGAGTCGCCTTCTAAGATCGGAGTCTATACGTGTCCGTTGACGATGACTGTCAAGATAACACCCGGATTAGGTGCGCGTCGAAAATCGACCTAAGAGCGGGAGAGTGGGGCATCTGAAAGCTTGTTTGCCAGCAATAAGTAGACGCATAAAGACCAGGAACTGGGCGCTATCTGATGTAACACGCATTCTACTATGCCTTAGAAAGTGGCTGACAGAAGTGAGGTCATCAGGGCACTGCGTACGCTTCCAGTTTGCGCACAGATCAAGGTCATAATAAGCACCATCTTGATAAAACCATTGTATCATGAACAAAGTGATAGCTAGGTAAAGTGGAAGGCGAAGGCCGAGCCCGCCAGGTATCATTTCGTAAATCTGCCCGCTTGCGGTCTATGAGGCTCGTTTCCATGACCCATCGTTTGATTCTACAGGAAACCAACGTACCCATCGTCGCTTGCAAAACATCCATAAGAGAGACATTGCATATCATCATGCATCGAAACTGAGCCCTTCGAGCCAAACATCATTAATCGTGGCCAAGTGAAGTGAGGACAAGCTATTTCTCGCTCGTCTTGGTTGTGCCTGCCTCAGGCTTCTTGTCGGTCTGGGACTCGGGAGCGTCGGACTTCTCCGTCTGTACAGATGAGGGCGACTCAGTCACTTGGACCTTGCTCTCGTGCTGAGGGCCTGGCGTGCCTTCGCGATCCTCGCGAGACTTGGCGTTGGCGTCCTGGTTGTACTTGTTGACTTGCGAATCCAGATCCTTGTCTTCGTCCTCGTTATCGAACATCTCGCCGTCATTGTCTCCAGTCGAGACTTCGGTGCCGTCACCGAGAAGGATGATGCGACCGCCGTTGCCGTTGTTCGGCCGGAATCGACTGTCCAAGTCCATGTCGATGTCATCAGGAGAATCGTCAATGCGATGGTGAACGCCGGGACCGCGGAACTCGGCTACACGATTATATTAGAACTGAACTACTCGCTCTCTGAGGCGGACTTGGCTGGATCTTCTGACTTGCCGTACTCTGGCGGCGCACATGGACCCTCTCCATTCGCAACCCGCTTTGCGATGTCCTCGTACCACTGCTCCTTCGTCCTTCCTTGTAGGAGACCGATGACAGTCATGGTCATGTTGTCACAGCCAACACCTCCCGTGTCGCTGTTTGAAGCCAGACAGTTGTCCATCATGTTCTCGCAAATGGAAGCAAGATCCTGCTTTGCGACAATTCCGCGCCTAACGAACTCGACGACGGCTTGAGAAGACTGGCAATCCCAGATACCTGTATGGAGTCAGTAAGAGCGCGCGAGCATAGTAGGTTGTAGTATCTTACCATCGCAGGCGACGATCAAGAACTCGTCATCTTGGTTGATATCATGTATCTCAACATCCGGGAAGGCAGTTACTATCTGCTGCTCGGGAGGAAGGTCGGCGCTCTTCTTGAACTCGAAGTCACCTATCGCGCGCGATAGAGCCAGGTTGCCGTTGACACGGCCAAAGTCGACGAAACCACCCGCGGCTTGGATACGTGCCTTCTCAGCTAATAGATGTCAGTGCTGCTTGCCTTTGCAATTTATGTTTCTTACCCTCATTCTGGGGCTTGTGGTCGAAAGAGAGCGGCTTAGCCCTTCCCTTGACGCCTAGGACAGTACGCGAGTCACCTGCGTTGGCCTGTTGATGTGAGAATTGGCTAAGGAATGTTGTAGGGGTCAACGTACGACGTAGATCTTGTCTTTGGAAAGGACGGCGACTGACGCAGTGCAGCCAGATACCTCCTCTTCGTACTTGGGATCTGTTCGCGTGAGTCAGCCACTTGTCGACTAAAGAAAGGTGCCCTGAAAAACATACCACTCAAGATGGCGCGGTCTGTGGCAAGGAAACCATCTTGTAGAGCCTTCTTGATGTCGCCCTCTTTGAAAGCCTCCTGCTTCGCGACAATCTGGTGTAGCTGCTCGCCAGCGTACAAGGCCACCTTGTCACCACCGTGTCCATCGTATACGCCGAAGAAGGCGAGTCGCTTGTCGTTGCCAGTGGGTTTGCCTGCTTCACCTGCAAAGTCTAGTACGGTGGCATGCGCGTCCTCCATGCTGATCCGCCAGCCCTGCATCGACGACACGCCGTAGATGAGTGACTCGCCATCGCCGTTTTCGGATTTCTGTGCAAGCAGCGTATTAGCGTCGTGTTAATGTGAAGGATAACCTGCGCGGCCGTGCAGCTCAATGCAGGCGACTGCGGCCGAATAGAGCGAGGAGTAGCGCAGGTGCGGGGGCGGGGGGCCAGCATTGGGAGGCAATTACCTTGTCGACGACGGGTTCTGAGAGTGTCTGACCCATGTTGTCCGGTGCCTACAAGGACCTGTGGGAGGAGACGAGGGGAAGTCTGAGGTTGATCGCGGGTCTCCCTAGGGGCATAGAATTCCAAACTGCGCTGTTGGTGTGTGGGGGGATTTCAGATGTGGCTAGGCGCAGGGGCGACTGGGTAAGTGGCCGGGCGTGTGTGGTGGGCGTCGTGTAGGTCCTTAGGATGAGGACAGGAGAAAAGAATTGCGTGCTCTAGCTCGCGGGGGTAAACAGGCCGGGTGGTGTTGTAGGCAAAGAGTGACGCTGCTCTACCTGTCAGGCCGGGCCCGTGCGGGCTAGTGGGTGTGGCTAGGTCGAGGCCAGACGATGACGCCCGCGCATTTTCTGCAGTCCCGTTTCCCCCACCAGCTCCTGTCGCTGTGGATTGCAGCCTCCTGACTGGAATACGCGCTCACCTTGCCAATGGCTGCCTTGTCGTGCAAGTTTCCGGGCGGTGCTCTGCTAAGGCGAGGCAGCCGGCGCCTAGATGCTTGCTTACCTGTGCAAGAGCTCGCGTGCCACGCACAAAGCCGTGAGCACCCCTATCAGCGCCTCAACAGCAGCCGCCGCCTGGCCTCGATGCACTGGAGCTGATCGTCCTTTCTGACTGGGGCATAGCTCCATCACTCGATATATGAAGCCCTCTTCCTCAAGTTGTACCTGTCCCGCATCAAGCACCCTGAATGTGTGCCGTCTACCGTCTAATTTACACAGCTGGGCTGAATCCTAAAAGATCGTGCACACATTCAGGGTTTAGATGTAGTAGTACGGTTCGGAAAGAACTTGCTGCGCTGTACAAGAATTTGGTCCCGTGAACGCGATAGAAAGGGCAACACCTTGCTCAGCCGCGTTGCGGCGCGACAATTCCCAGGGTCCAGATTCCGTCTCGGGCTCTGAGGATGCACTACGACGGATTAGTACTACCCGACCGATTGGCACGCAAGATGTTGCTTCCTCCTACACAACACTCCCGAAACTCGCGATACACGTTCCAGCGTAGCGCAAGGCAGGAGCTATGAGCAGCCAAACCGCGGCCCTTATTAATGCGGCACCATGTCATGGCTGCGTATGAGCAGCTGCGTGGGTAACTGGGATCACAAGATACCTGTGCAACGTGGTCCTGAAACTCCCCATATATTATCCATGGAAAAGCTATAACGAGGACTCTTGGCCTGGGCTGCCGAGGTTCTTTTGATACCGTGCGGCAACACCAAACATCTGAAATACTCTCATGGCACTGACTCAGTGTTGCTTCTGCGAGATGAGCGTACCGCCGGAGGACCCCGGTACCCCGGAAACCCCAAATGTTCTTTAAATATGCACTAAAAGCCCCACGATGAGGGCGACAGCGCAAATGACAGAATTCCGTATCGCCAACTTCCTTCGCCTTCTGTTCGGGGTATTGGCTTCGGCACTTTCATGAGATTATCTATCAGAAGCGCACGTATAAGCCGTCGCACGGTCCGATCGTGGTGTCATTGTCGAATGTGGCTTAGCCCAAATTTGAACCTCGGCTGTCCGAGGTAGCGCAAGATCGCCATCCTACTTAATCATCATTCCAAACACACTCTCTTCCCATCATCTCCATCATCAATCTATTATCACAATGAAGCCAACACCGGACTGGGTAAAGCAGCTGAAGCCTTCGGGCATTCAAGGCCACGAATTGCTCAAGGCTGAACGCGAAAACTCCAATGTACCCGTCCAGGAGCTAGAAGTCCTCCTACACACGCAAGATGTCATCGACAGGAGGAACAAGATCCTTGACATTCTCAAGTCAGAGAAGGTCTTCGACAAGTCGCAGAACTACTTCATGGGAAGGATCGACAGATTCGAGAGGGCGCTTGCAAGGGAGAAGAGACTCAGAATCTTGAAGAAGCAACACAACTGGTCTTTTGACGAGTTCCGGACTGCTACAGAACTTGTTGGTGAACCCGGACCATACGGACTCCACGACTCTATGTTTAAGGTACGCGCCATGTTCTGTCTCCGCGCGACTTCTACTCACTATGCAGGTTACACTTGAAGGTCAGGGTACGCCGGAGCAGCAGGAAAAGTGGCTCACCAAGGCCAACAACTACGAGATCATCGGATGTTATGCTCAGACTGAGCTTGGCCATGGTTCTAACGTTCGAGGACTTGAAACAACCGCCACCTGGAACAAGGAGGACAAGACCTTCACCATCCACTCCCCACATCTGACCGCCAGCAAATGGTGGATTGGATCCCTAGGTCGCACAGCTAACCACGCGGTCGTCATGGCTCAGCTCATCATTGATGGCAAATCATACGGGCCGTCTCCCTTCTGCGTCCAGATCCGTGATCTGAAGACACACGAGCCGCTCGACAACATTCACATCGGAGACATCGGTCCCAAGTTCGGTTACAACACCATGGACAACGGTTTCCTTCTGTTCAATCACGTCAAGATTCCCCACATCAGCATGCTGGCTCGTTACACATTCGTTGACCCCAACACGAACAAGTTTGGACGCCGTGGCGCGCCTTCCCTCGTCTATGGAACTCTCACTTGGGTTCGATCGACCATCGTCATGCAAGCCGGTAGTGTGCTCGCTCGGGGTGTTACCATCGCAACCCGTTACTGCGCTGTGCGACGGCAATTCCAGGACCGAGATGCTCCCGCTGGTGAGGCTGAGACTGCTGTTCTGAACTACACTATGGTGCAGATTCGGTTGCTTCCTCTTCTCGCCGCTACCTTTGCTTTACATTTCACCGGAAAGTCGATGATGGACATGTACCAGGAGAACCAGAAGAGGATCGCCCAGGGCAACGCTACCAATGCACCAAGCAAGCGTGGAGCTGGGCCAGAGGAGGTGCAATCAGGCAGCGATATGTTGGCAGACCTGCACGCGTCTTCATGCGCATTGAAGTCGCTTAGCAGTTCGATCGCAGCGGAGGGTCTCGAGGTCTGCCGACGAGCCTGTGGTGGTCACGGCTACTCAAGCTTCAGCGGTATCGGGCCGTGGTACTCTGACTACCTGCCCACTACCACATGGGAGGGTGACAACTACATGTTGACCCAGCAAGTTGCGCGATACGTAAGTCTATTCATCTCATGTAACTGCAATCAGTCCTTACTGACCTGTGCTCTAGATGCTCAAGTCCGCCCGTTCCGTACTCAAGGGAGAAAAGCCGACGAACGACACAACTCAGATCCTTTCTCAATTCCATGCACGCCGCGACATTGGCTGCGCATTCGACGTTATTGGCGACGACGACGACCTCGTCAACGCCTTCGCTTGGCGCGTCTCGTTCCTCACCTTCGAAGCCAGCAAGCACCGCGACGAGCAGAAGAAGCCCTGGAACGACCTGCTCGTCGACTTCTACCGCCTCAGCAAGGCCCACGCACAGTACATGGTCGTAAAGAACAACCTGTCTGCGCTCAGGAACATCGCAAAGGCAGGCAACGTTGACAAGAACATTGTCGACGTGCTGATGAAGCTGTTCCGTCTCTTCGCTCTGCACACACTTGAGCAAGAAGGCTCCGAATTCTACGCTTCAGGCGCATGCAGCAAGCACCAGATTTCGCTCGCGAGGACCAACACTGTCATGAACCTGCTCAAGGAAATCCGCCCACACGCTGTCAGGCTTGTGGATGCCTGGGGTTTCGATGACTGGGTCTTGGACAGCAGTTTGGGTCGCGCAGACGGCAAGGTCTACGAGGATATGTTCTACAGGGCTAGCGAACTCAACCCGCTCAACAACTACACCGTTGATCCGTATCCGGATAGCGATGTCTTGTTCAAGCGCATCGAGAAGAGCAAGTTGTAGGGGAAGGCATGTCTTTGTATATATGTAATTGTATTTGAATAGAACAGCGAACTTGATATTGAAGAAATTCAAGGTCCTGTAGCCACCGAAATCTTGTTTTGTTGTAGTGCATGTACGTATAACAAGTAGGCCGAGAGGAAGCCAACGGGTAATCAGATCCGGGAAGTGGAGACACGGCATGCGCTTACCCTCCATGGTGTACATAGCAACCGCATCTACTATATACCACCCCGAAACATAGCTTTTCCTCTCCATTCTGAACGTATTGTCACGTTCTCCTACGCTACGACCCCATCCCAGATCATTTTAGATTTCTACGCTCAGCATGGCCCCTTCAGACCCCACCATAAGCGCTGGCGTCCTCCTCGCCTTTCTCAAACCCACCTCAACCGGAAGTAACGAAGCACAACCGGACGACAAGCTCGCCCTCCTATCCACGGCCATAACAGGAAATGTTCTCGGTATCAAGTCGGCAACACACTACAAAGCCGCAAACGCACAGTACGACAAACAACATCTCTTCGTCTGCGAAACAGAAGACCTAGCACATGTGAACGTAAAGCAAATATTAAGGTTTCTTGAAGCCGAGAACGTGGACGGAGACTGGGATATCAGGGCGTACTCTGAAGTCCAGATCTTTGGTCCAGGGAAGAGTGGTGGTATGTCTGCGCGCTACCCTTCAGTTAAGGATGGAAGTGAAAGATAATGTTGCTGACTTCAACGTCATAGAACCCGCACCAACAATCATGCTAGCGCTCATGCAACCCTCGCCCACCGGCGCCTCGGACCTAGATGCTTGGTACCGCGAAGAACATAATCAGCAAACGTCTGAGCAACCAGGTTGGCTGCGCACGTGTCGGTATTCGCTTGTCAGGCAAGAATCGGGTTCTGAAGATGAGGAAGGGAAGGAGCAAGAGTTGTCTTTCTTAGCTATTCATGAGTTCGGGGAGGGTGAGCAGTTGGGGGACACGGTCAAGGCTTTTGAGCCGGTTAGTGAGTGGACGATGAGGGTTATGAAGGATGCGGTGGGGATTGATGCGGCGGTTTATCGGAGGAGTTGAGTGAATGAAAGGAAAGTTGGGAGTGTGGTAGTGGGTAGATTGGAGTTCGTCCTCTAAGAAGGTGTCTGTCCATGGACATCCTATTTCATCGTTTCCAATATGATTTACCGGATACGTATTCGGTATCAACCCATACAATCACATTTCCACCGAACCCATACGCCCATGTCGTCTGCTGGCTACCAGGTGCTCGGTACATTGTTGAAGTCGGGAAGCCGTGTGTGCATGAGCATCCGACGTCGATGGCGCCGTGCTCTGATGCACACCGCCCCCGAGTCCTAGTCTCAGTTCGTATTGAGCAGACTTGGTTTCAGTATAATTCGACATTCCGCAAGCAATATCTCGACATCCCTGAGCTGGGCGGCGACATCTTCCCGGAGCGTTCGCGTCACATTTCCCCATCTCAAAGTCACCAGTTGAGCCTCATGTAGCGGCGGATAGTACCGCTTGATAAACCGGGAGTAGTTATCGGCGTTCCATGGGGGGACACAAATATAGAGACCTGGGCGGAGAAGACCCATCTTCTCGATCCTGATAGCCGTGATGGATCCGCAGACTGCCGCCCCTAGATACTGAAGCGCTGTTGGGAGGTCATAATAACATTGGAGGTCAAAGGTACGGTGTTTGTAGATGAAGTCTCTTGCTTCATTGCGTATCGTTTGGCAAGAGAATAGAAGGCTGAAGGCTCCTGGAAAGTGACGGCTGTGCACTGCAGGTTGCGAACGGCGCGAGCGCGTAGGGGATATGCATTTCCTGTCGAAGGCGTAGTCGTAAACTATGAGTCGGAGTTCGGTGGGTAGGTCGAGGAAACGGAAGGGCTGCTGGACGGTCTGGACGCTAGGGCACTGTCAGTGGAAGCATGTAGCTCAGTGCGGCGAATAACTTACGTCGCTGTGCTGCTACTCCTGTCGGCGCCAGATCGATGCAGAAGGGTGTCCTGGGCGATGGCACTTTGCGTCGTCGGGTCTGCCGGGCTGGGAGTCATCTTGAGTTGTATCTATTGAGGGGCTATGTCTAAGAGAAGTAGAGCCAGTTTGCTGACGGCTAGGGTTGCGATGTCGTGAATGATTTGCGCTATTTTGCGCCCGGGCCCGTGACTCCCGACAGTGGACATTCACTGAGTGATGTATGTCCCCTATACGACATGCAGGACGACGTCCATGTTACCGGTCCAACGTTGCATAGCGGCAAGAAGCTCGGCTTCAGCACTGTCGACATTACGAATCTTCATCCAGTGACGCTCGACTTTCGGCAGTTCAATATCTCGAATAGAAGACGCGCGATTGTCCATATAGCCGGAATCGATGAGTCTGCGGATATTATGCACCGTTGCTATGCCCAATTTGACTGATCGAACGAGCCCAAAGTTGGCGGGGCCCATGACCAAGGACACATTGGTTATGCAGTTGCGTGAACCACGGCTGTTATTGAACGAGGTGAAATCGAATCTGGCTAGGCCATACAACAGAGGCGATGCCTCGTGCCGGATCTGTCGGCACACCAATAGCAGAGCGAACACGCCTAAATCATGTCGCCTGTATATCTGCTTGCGTTTCCGCGTAGCTTGCCGGATTTGACTTGCAAAGACACCGACAGTTTGTCCTGAAAATACACGCTTGTAGATTTTGTCGCGGAGCTCGGCGGGAAGACGAAGAAACTGAGATTCGCGTTGATTTGATTGCGTTCTGGGATATCGTTAGCTCAAATCAGTGAAGACCTTGGGTCCGTCCTTACTTGCGCTCACGTAGCCGCTCGAAAATGCTCTGCGACTGAGTGAGAATCATGGTTAAGAAGGAGAGGACGCCCAAATTTCAGTCCTGGAACGGGTTGTGTGAGTAGGTGAAGCTGCGCAAGGGCGGTGAGCGCTGCTCTCATTATCCAGGGTCCATCGCTCCGTTTGCTCGTGCAGAGGAGCTCACCTCTTACTGAATATAACCTCAAGATTGTTACTTCCAAAATATAATCGCAGAGCTCTCACAGCCAAGTCAGGGCTCATACTGAGTAGCCCAAATATAGAAGTCTGCTGGATATGCACCCGCTGTAGGGAAGGCAACAGATGCCTATAATTAGTGGTAGAGGGGGCACCCTGTTGGAGTCCTATCGCTAAGCGTTTTGCAAGCCTCGGTTCTACTTTGATTGCTCTGATTGCTTGACAGATATCTGGTCCCAGTTCGTAGGCGGCCGCCATGCAGTTGTAGTAGAGTGTCAGGTCAAAGGTGACCAGCTCGTTGAAGGTAGGTGTCGCTTCTTCTCTGATATGTTTACAAGTCATCAGAAGAGAGATGATCTGCTGGTATCTTGGAATTCCGTTTCGTTGAAGGAAATATGTGCCTCCAAGTAAATCAGTGGATTTTGGTTGTACATGGATAGTCTCGTTGGTGAAGGCATGCTCGTAAATCATGACTCGAATCTCGGCTGGCAAACGAAGGAATGGCGGTGTGTAAGGGGCATTCTGATCACTTTCCATCGTAAGCCTGATATCTATACAGCTTAGCACGGCTTACATACACTGTATCGATTTGACGATGGCTATGTGTAGCGAGGCTCAAGCGACCCAGATTTTCAGCTACATCGTTGGTCATGATGTACTGATCACAAAGAGAGAGAATGTTTCTTTGATGTTTTCCGATATAAAGTCGCGGTGACAAAGATTATTGTATGTGTGTGCTGAAAGATCAGATGGTCGAGAGAGATGGGCGGCACAGCCGGTGATAAGCTAGCGCCATCTGGTATCTCCGGCGGCGCGTCTCGAGATTTTTGGCGCGTCCAATTTTCGTCATCGCAGTTGCGCGTGACTGCACAACCCTCGACTGTTGCGCGCCTCTCGCTGTTGAACATGGGTAATGCAAAGCGCATGAGTGAGATGTTCGCATCGTCGGCCGAAAAAGACGCCAACACCACGACGGTGACTGCGAGCCCGCCGTACTCAAGCGAAGGACCTACCCTTCCCATCATTGGGGCACCCGAGGACGCACCGACAGCTGGCAAGAAGCGAAAGGCACAAGACAAGATCAATGGAACAGCGTCGAAGAAGCCATCGCAACCACCATCTCCTCCCACAATCCATCCCTCTCTCTACGAGCCATGGACACGGCTGCCTACCGAACTACGCAAGCTCCTCGAAACCCAGAAGCGCATGCGAGCCACACAGAACATCGTACCCGTCGTCTTCTCGAAGAATCAGAACATCAAATCCGGTATCAACAGGTTGAAGGCATATTTGGGCGCGTACAAAGACCCAGCGTCTACAATCGAGATGCCGGAAGCTCTGAAAGAGGATGATGTGATCATAGCCGTTTCTGCTCAGGGTGAGGGCACTACCAAGTTAGTAGGCATAGTCGATATGGTTCGACGCATCGTAGCGCCGAGTGGTGGAGAGGACGATGAACACGGGAAAGACGAGGCTTGGTGGATGTATACAATGCTCACGAGCGTCGAGGTTGACCGAGAGATCAAAACCAGGCCGACGGACAAGGACGATGCGGACGTCGAAAAGGCACCGAGCACACAGAAGAAAGATGAAATGTCAAATGAGAACAACACGATGAAGAGGAGGAAAATACCCGTGCTAACAGTTTGGATGACCAAGAAGCGGATAGCCGCGTTCGGGAATGTCTTTGGAGAGCAGACATTCGCTGCGAAGCTGCTATCACAAGACTCTGACTGAATGCCACGCGACGAAGCAATCGAAATTTTAAGAAGCCGCTTGCGCTGCGGGTATGCCACCGTCAGAACTTTGGACGACCTCGACTCGCTCGATCCAATACAACCGATTGACGGCTCTGCCCGCCTTGCCCGCCTCGCCCTCTTTGAACCGACCGCATATAGCACATACCACAGCGGGCCCGCCAGCCGCCAACATGAAGGCAGCGTCCTCTGCATCTTCTATCTGAAATCGCCGACGGTTCTTCCCCGGCTCCATCTTATCGTACAAGTTGT